TAAACCTTATATATATATATATATATATATAACATATATAACAAGAAGGTAAGTGTGGTGTAACGAATTGTGTAACACCGGTGCTTCTCATGTAAGTCTGTTGGTTCTTTGTTTGCACAGCAAATTGGAGTTGGCTATGTGGCCTTCAGCTTAGCCACACACACGACAGTAGAAACAATGGGCTGTCTTCAAAGTGTGTTCCTTCCATCCTGATCCTGCCGATCGCCCAACCAACCAAAGCCCACCATCTAGCCTCTCATAAGTTTCTTGTGTACTGAGAAGAAAGCGGTGCTCTTTGTTTGCTTGTTCAGCTGATCTCACCGTTGGTTGCCTTCACATTTGTTTGCACTGGTGTGAATTTCAATGGCTTCTACAAGTTTCCTCTGTTCGGTGTACCTCGATTTTATAATCTTGGAGCACCTCTTTGTAGAAGAGTTGGTTAGGCAACATTTAAAGTTCGCACCACCATCTTCTTGCTCTACCTGTTGGCGATATTCCTGCTCATTGTTTGTCTTCTATTGAGATGTTCATGCCTGATTGTATGTGTTTTTGAGCTTGTTAATGTGTGGAGAAATTATGCATACCAATTGTTTGGCAATATGCCTGACTAAAATAACCCATAAATTCTCTTCATGGCAAAGCCTCTTCCTAAGATTGCAACCAAATTTCAAGGAAAAACCCTGGCTTATTTCTTACAATTTAGTTTGTTTCAATTAATTTTTCAAAATCATTTGTTCTTGGGTAGATAGAGTTTGTAATGTGTTTTGATATTTGATTTCTCTACAGATAAAAAATGATCGAGAAGCGCCTCGCAAGTGGCCAAGTCAAAGAGCTCATCGAAGAGGCCTAGGACAAGCTCAAACTCATCGCTAAGATGTTCTGTATGTATATTTCAATACTCTCTGTCTTCATTTGCTTTCTCTTTGCTTTTGAATACATTGGTATCATTACAAGCAGAACCAATATCGAATATTGAGCTTCAAATTTTATGCAAGTGTTCAAGAGAACAGGATTTGAATCCTCTAATTGTAGATTAGGTTGTTCTTTGTGTAAAAGGGAAAAGCAATTTTAAAGTTTTGTAAAAAAAAGTTCTTTTGAAGATTTTTTATTGGTTTCAATTTTGACAGTTAAATATATCTAACTAGCTATGTATAAAAAATTCAATTCTAAAATTATTTGATTCTAACCAAACACGCTCTTGATTTTTCATTGCATAGAACTTGAATAAAACAAAATTGAATATTTTCTTATTTTCTTT